ATTTTGGTTGAGGACATTTATGGATTTCTTGGCAGTGGAATGAGGTTGGATATAACATTGGTAAGTAGCGAAATAAGGGGGGTAATGAGAGATCTAAATTCGGAAAGGAAAGATGTCAGTAGGCTTGTGAGGTCAGTGGAATTGGAAGGAGGAGGAATGAAGGTATGGGTATTTAACCTACGTTCAGGGATGGAGGGATATGGGTCTTGAGGTTGATGTGTGAATTCTTGAGGTTTAGATTCTTGTGGCAGGGCCTGAGATTGAGTGTTTACAGTTTCTCCTTTGAACATCTGAGCATAGGACACTCTTCCGTTCACTGTTCTAGAGGGTTGTCTTGGTGGCCTGGATGTCCCTTCTTCTCTAGGCGTACATTCGTCTTTTTAAATCTTTGTATGTTTGACAACCCTTGTAGTTGGCTGGGTGTCCTTGGTGGCATAAAGCGCATACTGCAGGTGAAGTTCTAGATTTCCTACAGTCCTCTGTTTTGTGTTGCTCACCACACCTCACACATCTAGGAATGTGATGACAATGCCGTTTCGTATGGCCATAAGCCTGGCAGTTATGGCATTGAACGATGTCGCGTTTGCTGTAGGGCTTTTCTACAACAACGCTTGTATAATAAAGGCGTGTGACCTTGTAGATGGTTTCGACATCGGGTGTTCGGTCAAGGTCAACGAAGAATAGTGGAAGAGGTATTTTATTTTTTATTCCAGGCTGTTCTCTATCCTCCTTAAATATGTTCACTATATGGCGAAAATGGAATCCCATACCCATGAGCTCTTCTTTTATAGCATCTGTTGGCGTAGATGGGTGCAGTCTTCTGATAACGACCTGAGCGCCCTCTCTTGACGCAGTTGGTACGTGTGGTAATCAGCCTTGGTGTCAGATAAATATTTTATGATTTTTCTATAGGTTTCTGGAGTGTCGGGCATTAACTTAGTGGCATTGGTGCGGCTTTGGCATAAATATTTTCCTGAACCTACAAGATTATTCAATTGATGACACATCAATTGAAAATTTTTAATATTTCTAACAAATATTGGTGGGGGTTTGGGTTCTCTGGGGATGGATGCTGCTTCCATTTGTTCATTATTTATATTTGAAAGCACTTTAAATGGATTCGAAGTGAAAAACGGCGATTCTTCACCTATAGCTTGAGTTGTCTCATAATTGTTGGGTTGTTGTGAGGAGCCAGGTTGGGGTTCCACTTCTTCTATGGAGTTCCCTGGTGTGGCTGGTGGAGTGTTTCTTTTCGAATGCCTTGTCTTTTTTTTAATGAGAGAACTTATTGTAGTATCGAGGACCTAGTGTTTTTGCCCTTACTCGACATTAGTATGTGATAATATCGCATTTCATATTAATTTTTAAAAGAAAAATTGATAAAAGTGAAGCGAGGAAAAAAGAAATTAGTTGAACAGGAAAATATAGACGCGCTCTTGGAGAGCACAGATCTGCCTCCGACGGAGGAATCTAGCCCACTAGTGGGATTAACGGTGTATGGCTGGCCGTTATCTAACTAAGCTAAGGTCTATTTACTCTGTTCACTCTTGTGTTGTAAATAAGTGATTACTCACCTTATTTTTTTGTCCAGTATTAAACGTAATTGTTAATGTAACTGATAACACTAATTGTTCACATTAAACTTGTATACTATCACTGATAATTGAGATTTTTATAAGAGACGACCTGACGTATGTTTTACTTTTTTCATCGGAAAATGTAAGGAAGTATCGATAGTGTTCAAAATATCATTATCAATGACTATTAAATGTTTTGTAATAAAAATAAAATAAAATGTATATTATTTCAAAAGAACTATTATAAAATTATTTATAATTGGATACACCTTTTTATGTAAGTGTATATAAATATATCATTTTGTTTTTAGATTTATTTTGTTTAAAATTAAAAAAAAATAAAATAACGGTTATATGTAGCAATATAGAGCAGTTATAAATAGGTATCTAAAATTATGAGTTTTATGAGGTCTTTATCATTTTCGAAGTTAATATATTGTCAAATTTAAAAATTCACCGGTTTAAACAAAGAAACCGGGACTTTTTTTTTGTGGAAATTTTCTAATTTTGTAGTCATATTCGTGTTCCTTGGCCTTGAAAACATAAGTGTACTAAATATCAAGTTAATCCGACATCATTTACTAGTTCTAGGCCCATGTCCATGAAAACCCGTTTTTCGTGCCACACACTCGGCCATCACGACTTCAGGCTTCTCCATCTTCCAATACCCATACGGCTGAGGTCTTCTTGTATGTCGTCGATCCACCGCAGCCGGGATCTTTCCCTAAGACATTCTTACATATTATACATATACCTTTAGACAGTGGCTACAATATCTTCATTATTATACACCTCATCATTTTTCCGTATTCGCCACTGGTAATTTATTTTCTTTGGACCGTATATTTTCCTTAGGACTTTTCTCTCCCAGATTGCCAGCAACTCTCACTTTCCCTTGTCAAAACCCATGTTTCACACCCGTAGGTAACGACTGGCCTTATAATGGCTTTATAAATTATTACTTTAGTATTCCAGGTTAGTTCCTTGGATTTTAGTATTTTTCCAGGCCAAAGAATCACTTATTGCCAGCTGCAATTGTGGCCTTTGTTTTCTTCTGGTCATTCACTATCACTGCGAGACATTTGAATTCTGTTGCCATTGGGAAAAGGTGCTGATCAATTCGTACACATTCATGCACAGCTACATTATTCCTTGAGGATTTCATGTACAGACTTTTCTCTTCATTTATCGTCAGGCCAAGTTGCATTGCTGCCGCTTCAACTTCTTCGGTAGATCCCGCAAGGTCCGACTATGTGCGAGGGCTGATGAGAACATCGTCCGCGTATGCAAGACATTGAGTAAGTAAATTGAATATAGTCCCTCCAGGATTGTTCCTTATTGCTCTAACAGCCCGATCCAGGGCTAGATTAAAGGGAATTGGCGATATAGGATCTCCCTGCTTCAAGCTCCCTCAAGTTGTTTGAAAGGAAATTTTGAATCTTGACTCTACATTTTGTATCTCTTAGTATCATCTCTGTCAAGAAGATAAATTTTTCCGGAATCCTCAGCATTTTCATATCTTTCTGTCTTTAGAATCATACGCCTGCTTAAAACCTATAAAGACATGGTGCAGATCCACGTTATGTTCGTATGTTTTCTCTATTGTCTTAAAGCAAGATGTGATCCACTGTTGACATATTTTTCCTGAAACCATACTGATAGTCTCCGAAAATTCTTTTTCCTCATGACGTTAGAGCCACTTACTAACAGCAATTGAAAGGACTGCACATACAGTCAGCAGCAGGGCTATTCCTCTGTAGTTATCGCAATTTAACTTGTCCCTTTTTTTTAAAAATAGGATATAGAACTGCAGTGTTCCATCCTTCTGGTATGGTTTCCTACACCCAGATCATATTTATGAGGTCGTGGAGCTGCTGCTTAGTTAATTCTTCTCCTTCATTCTTGTATAGCTCAGCTGGTTTTTCATCCACACCCGGAGATTTGTTGTTCTTTAAGGACATAATTATTCCTTCTTTTTTCCGGCGGTATTTCCTCTTCCTTACATATGTTTTCTCTATTTCTATGCGTTTCTTCTTCATTATTCAGTTCTATGTTACCTTGGTTTAATACTTCGGAAATGTATTTCGTCCATCTATTTAAAATGTCTTTTCTTGCTCCCTGCAAGTTTCCTCTTTTATCTTTACAATAGTCTAGGTGCGGTTTAAAATCAGTCCTTGAATTTCTTACTCCTTTTTAAAATTCCCTAGTTTCTTTTACTGCATACTGATCTTGAATATCTTTTATGATTTTAAATCAACATTTAGCGTGATTTATCTTCACAGTGTAATTAATTTTTATAGATTAAGTGTACTGCCAATTGACAAAAACTCTACGTTACATTATCTTTTCATCCTATTTTTGTTTCCCAGATAAAAATAATATGAAAGCATGACTTTTTTTTGTTTTGTATACTGCTACTCACGTTATTTATGGGATTTGTAAGCACGAATCTGGCTGTTGTTCAAATTTTAAGATTTGCCAAAAATTAGGAAATGGTCTGCATCAACAATATTTGGATCCTTTGATCCAGGTACCACCACGTTATCAACACTGCAAGCGAATCATTCAATTTTCTTCGGGATTTTTTCTCGATCTGAGGTTCAAATATGAAAAAAATTAAATATTTACGTGACCAGAAGCATATTAAGAACACAATAAAATCGAAGTGGATGAAAACCAGAGGGGATACAAGGAGCAAGCTGGACTTTTGCTAATCACGGAATCTAAGCAGTTCTTTAACAACAATTATAAATTTTCCTCAGATATGATTATTTCAGGAGAAGTTTTGATCAAAGATAATACCCAGGTTTTTGATTTTGGATTACAAATGAATAGGTGGTTATTTAAGTAAAGTGGAGGGCTAGTAAGTGAGGAGACCAATAAGTCCTCACCCTGACTCCTTTTATTCTATTCACGTATTCAATTCTATCGCAAAGATTCGAGCCAAAATAAGAAATTATAAGCAACATATCAATTTCTATAGAAAATGTTGCAAAGACGCAAAGGGGAAGAATTCAAGTGATAAAGAGAAAAAACAGTAACTTTTACTTATTTTTCTTCTCTTATATAGTTATTTTTCTATTTTCTAATATTAATATATTGTATTATATGTTCAATGTAAATTCTTATTGAACTTATATAATCCTATAAACCTCTTGGTACCGATTCACAAGAGAAAAAAAAATAATACAAGTTTTTGATGATTGGAATTGCTGTTTTTTTTTTTCTTCAGTTTTATAGCATTATGATTGCTAATATATTTCGAAATATCATGAATAAACTACTTTTATCGACTGTAGGAAAATTAATGCCATCAAAAGCATAATGAATAATTGTTAGTTATGCTATAACAGCTTTGCACTCCCTAGCTCCGCCTTTGTGTCACATTCATTATATTTATACTTTTTCTTGAAATGTTGATAGGTTGTGTATTGCTCCTGTTTGTGGGTGCTATAGCAGGGGACGGAAGTGAAACCTTCTTTACTAAACGTGTGTGGGCAATATTGGTAGCAGGCTCAAATGAATGGTTCAACTACAGGCATCAAGTGAGTATCTAATCATTCTTACTTCAAGAATGGGCATAAGACCACAAGTGTTGGAGTGTAATTTTTGAATAAAAGAACATAATCGTCAAAAGATTTTTTTAGCGAAATTATTTCCTAAAATCAGAAGCAGTTTTTTGTACTCAAAGTTAAATCTATAATAATAAATCAGAAAAACAAAACAACACATTGCTATAAGCCAGAGTACGGCATTAATTAAATAAATGTTTAACTAAATCATCCTAATAATAATCTCTAATTATTTTATTATTATTACAGTTTGATTATACAGGGTGTCCCGTAAGTAGAGAGAAATTTCAAAGTGGTGATTGAGTACTTCAACAGCTACAAAAGAGTTTAAATAAACAATAGTCCTATTTTGGGCAGATAAGTAGGAAATTTGAGTTTTATTATCTTTTAGTATCAATTGTTTTGTTGAACAAGAAGCAATAACAAAAAAAATATTTAATTTAAGTTATTAACAACTGCTCCTCAGCACTAGCGGATCCAGGATTTAATTTTTGGGGGTGATTTAGCCCGAAACCTTTATTTCTTTCTATATACATAACGATAATTACTTGAAAAAGAAATAAACTACCGATATAAATGATGTTTAAATGATTCTTTAAGTCTTATTAAATATAATTACACGAACAATAAAACTTTAAGGGATAATTTTTCAATATCTTTTTCATAAGACATGGTTAAATTTTACTATTTGGGGATGGGGCTTCAGCCGGAAATTCTCCCTTCCCCCCCCCTCATATATACTTGTCTGTGTTCCTCAGTGAACTAGACAAAATTTACTTTAAATGAAAGTAGAGTTTGTTATTGTTAAAACCATTTAAAGAGATCATTTTCGAAAATATTCCATTTCTGTAATCGGGATCCAAGAATTTCTGCCTTCTCCTTTGACAGGCCGAGGTCTCTAACGAGATCACTCAATTCCGCTTGACTCAGTCTGTGCGGTTTATCATCTTTTCCTTCAAAATCAGTGTCACGGGATATGGAAGGATTATTTGGTTTTCTTCTTGTTCCACACTGTCTTCATTTTCTACTTCAAACACATAATTTTCGGGTGGAGTAGGAATTGGTTAAGTATCTGAATGGGTCAAATAGCAGATGGAAGATTCGGCTACTGAACTGTTCTTCTTTTCTTCATAGAAAATGCTGCCTTTATAGCTGGAGTCGAGCAGAAATAGCAGTCCGACTTCCGCCAAACCATTGGCACTGCGAATGCCATAGATCGTTTCTACTTTCCTATCCATTCTCGCAGTGTAATTGAACTTGAGTTGCAACATATATGTGGAGTCCAAAACTTATCCTGGCCTTATTCTTTACTTTCATACCGTAATAATGCTGATAGGCAGTCTTTAAAAGAGGCGTCAGATTGGGTTTCTGTGAGGAAAATGTTATTCCACCACACATATAACAAAATTTCTTCTCCATACTGACACATTTTCGTGGCATTTAATGAATTTTAAACTAAAAAAGGACCCTCAAACCACACAAATTCTGCATTTCTTACAGCAGTTAGAAATGTTGACTAAAAAATGAAATGTCACTTTATCTCCAAAGTAAGAGCTATGCTATCATTTTTATGGTGATTTTATAATTCAGCAGATGGAATTACACATGAATTGACTATTTGAACCTGAAACATTTTCATTGTTGCCCAGTGTTATTAGTTATTTGTTTCTCTCATCCTCCAATTATACTGGCTACGCTACTTTTAGAAAAACTTGGCTGTTTACTAAGCTTTAAATGCATAAATAATTAAGTCGAGTTTTATTACGAAATAAGTTGAGATTCATCTCAAGTAGTGAAAAACAATGAGCTGAATATGGATCCTGTCACCCAAAAGGAGCCGTGTTTTCACCAACAAAAATAAATTATTGCAAAGCTTTAGTTTTTTTTTCCATGGCCTAAGATGTATAATAATAAATATAAATGCATAAACACACTTTTTATTTATACCAAAAATATTTCAAATTATGATTATTCGGAAGACCGCCAAGAATGATAGGGGGACAACCCCTACACATCCAGGGCTCTGCAACCGAGGAGGCAATCCCCTCGCGCGGGCTCATTACCGCGTATGGGGAGCGTCCCACGGGTGGCGGATGTGGGGATGGTCGGTGGAAATTCCTTGGAAGTTCCTCCCGGCTAAGTCCGATGGACTCGCTGACCAACAATGAGAGGGGCCCTCCAGACTTGCTGGAGGGAGGGGACCTCCAGACTTGCTGGAGGTAGGGGCCCACCAGACTTGCTGGAGGGTGTGACGTAGGATTGAACGCCCTACTCACATATCTTTAGTTCACCAAACACCACAAAAAGTCATGGATCTCCCTAAGGTAAAACGCTCATTATCCGGAGGTAAACTAGTCCCCCGTTCGGGTCTCCGGGTGGGGACTGCTTTAGGGGATTCATGGTGCAAGTTGAAATATAGGGATTTAAATATTGGTACGTGGAACGTAAGGAGTTTAAACACAGCAGGGGGGCTAAAATCGGTCGCGAATGAGGTAAATGGGTACAATTTGGATGTCGTGGCTCTGCAAGAGGTTCGCTGGCCAGGGGAGGGCTCGATGAGGGAAGGAAAGTACACTATTTGGTACGGAGGAAGCGGGAATCATTGTTTAGGTACCGGGTTTCTAATTAGGAGTAGATTACTATCCGCTTTGAGCGACGTACAATTCTTTAGTGATAGAATTTCGGTAGCTATATTTCAGGGACGTTGGTTTAAAATCGCATTAATAAACATACATTGTCCGACCGAAGACAGTGACGATGAAGTCAAAAGTGAATTTTACGATAAACTCGAATGGGTTTATGATAAACTACCGCGAAACTACATGAAAATAATTGTAGGTGACGCGAACGCAAAGGTAGGAAGGGAAGAAGTTTATATTCCGACGATTGGTAAAGAAAGTTTGCACGAATATAGTAATGATAATGGGATCCGTCTGATAAACTTTGCCATCTCGAAAAACCTGATAATTAAAAGTACGACGTTTAAACATAAGGATATTCATAAATATACTTGGACATCACCGGATTCGCAAACACGAAATCAAATAGATCATGTCTTGATACAACACAGCTGGCAAAGCAGTATAATCAATGTACGGTCTTATCGAGGAGCAGAATGTGGGTCGGATCATGAATTAGTAATCGCGAAACTTCGACAAAAACTTAATATAAAAAAGAGAAAAGAAAACCGTTTCGATTTTGAGAATTTTAATTTGGAAAAATTAAAAAATCCATCAATTAGAAACCAATTCGAGCTAGATGTTAAGAATAGGTTTGAAGCTTTAGAGCTTCCTGACGAGGACCACGAGGATATTGACAAGTTATGGGTAGAGATCAGGGATAATATAAAAGCGGTCGGTAACTCGTGCCTAGGAAAAAAGGAAACTAAGAATAACAAACCGTGGTTTGATGAAGATTGCTTAAACATGTGCGAAAAAAGAAAAGCCGCTAAATTAAAAGCTCTAAATAATCCTAGCGAAGACAATCTGGAATACTTCCGAATCTCAAAGAACGAAACGACAAAATTGCTCAAAAATAAAAAAAGGGAGTATCTTAAAAATAAAATAATTGAAATAGAAACTAATAGAATCGAAAATAACGTAAGAGACATGTACAAAGGTATAAACAGATCACGTAAATATGTAGGGCCCGTAACGTCTGGAATTAGGGATGATAATAACAATATTCTGACCGATCCGGTTGACATATTGAATAAGTTTAAGGACCACTTTGACAATATTTTAAATACGGGAAATTATGATCTGTGTCCTCCTTCTGAGTACCAGAGTGCTGAACCGTTAATAGAAGGACCAAGTAAAGAGGAAGTTGAAGTAGCTATCGGAAAATTAAAATCATATAAAGCAGCGGGAATCGATAATATTCCTACTGAACTAATTAAGGCATGCGGGGAAGCTGGAGTTTCTAAAATACATCGGTTGGTTAAAAAGATCTGGGTGAACGAGAAATTACCTGAAGAATGGAAAGAATCTATTCTTATTCCGATTCACAAAAAGGGTCCGAGGACGGATTGTAATAACTATCGAGGAATTTCACTCCTTCCGGTATGTTATAAAATATTCACTTCAATCTTAACCAGTCGAATTACGGAATATGCCGAGGAAATTATCGGAGACTACCAATGCGGATTTAGACGGAATCGTTCGACTATTGATCAAATATTTTCTTTACGGCAAATATTAGAGAAAAAATTGGAGTACAAAGGTATTGTTCACCAGCTGTATATAGATTTTAAAAAGGCTTACGATTCTATTGACCGCCAGAAACTGTATAATATTCTAATTGAGCAGGGGCTTCCAAAAAAACTAGTAAATCTAGTCAGGATGTGCTTGACGGAGACACTCAATAAAGTTAGAATCGGTAATAATTTGTCCGAAAAATTTGAGGTTCGTTCGGGCTTAAAACAGGGGGATTCACTTTCGCCTGTCCTGTTCAATTTGGCATTAGAACATGCCATTAGGGAGGTAATGCGAACCGAGAAAGGGTTGGATCTGGGCGGGACAACATCCGTGCTGGGCTATGCTGATGATCTGGTACTGTTAAGCGAAGACGTTGAAACTATAAAACTAAATACGACAACGTTAATGAAAGCCGGGAAAGAACTAGGACTCGAAATAAACGTGGATAAAACAAAATATATGGTTAGCTGCAAAAATGGCGATACTACTGGTGACATCGATATAGATGGTAATATGTTTGAACAGGTAGATAAGTTTAGGTATCTAGGTTCAACGATAACTAGAAAAAACGAAATTGAAGAAGAGATTAAAGTTAGACTGAAGGCGGGAAATGCTTGTTATTTTTCTGTGACAAAACTACTTAGTTCGCGCCTCTTGTCCCGGAACTTAAAAATTAGAATCTATAAAACAATTATCTTGCCTACAGTTCTTTATGGATGCGAAACTTGGCCACTTACATTAAGGGATGAGCAGCGTCTTAAGGTTTTTGAAAATAAAGTATTGCGTAGAATATTCGGACCGAAGAAGGATGAGTTAACCGGAGAGTTCAGACGGCTACACAACGCCGAATTGCGTGAGCTGTATCCGGGTAATATAATTGATGTAATTTCATCGCGGCGAATCAAATGGGCTTGTAAAGTTGTTGGGCTTAGTAACGAGAGAATTCCTAAAAGGTTAATATTTGCTGTGCCGAATGGTAAGCGTCCGAGGGGTAGACCGAAGCGAAGGTGGGAAGATTTTATTGAAGCCGATTTGAAGGGACTGGGTTTGGACGGCGAACGGTGGAGGGAGGTGTGCAATAAGCGATTGGTGGTGTCGGCATCGAACCTTCGGGTTCGCTAAGCCTTTTTTTATTTTTTATTATGATTTTTCGATTATTCATCATTTGAAGTGATAATGTAAAGCGTGTTTTCTATTAAGATCCCTATTACAAGAATTGATACGTCTTTATAAGTAACGAAATAAAAGTATCTAGTCCTAAACTACGTTTACGTTTAAAATAAAGAGCTGCTTACCTCAATTATTTTCATGAAGATGTAAATATTAGGATCAGGAGTATTTAGTTCGTCACTTATAAATATGGATAAGTACCTATAATAGAGATATGGGTAAAAACACAGTTTAATAATCACATTACATGAAAAATATCTGAAAAATCAATATTGTATCCTTTTTTAATAATAAGTGTATTTTCGAAGTTATTATAATACATCTTAGGTCATGGAAAAACAATAAATAAATGTTTTGCAGTAATTTATTGTACTCATTTTTGGTTACAATACAGTGAAATGATATCAAGTCAAATATTTTTTTCACACTACTTGAATCTAGTTTTTCTCTAATAAACCTCAACTTAAATAATATGGACTTAAAACTAATTAAACGAGAAAGTTATTCTAAAATTAAGGTATCTGTAGCATATTTTGAGAATGAAAAAAAAATCGCATATAATTTATAATTTTTTTAAAAATTGGACTTAGTTTAGCAACTCAAAAGTCTTCTTTAAATGGTTTTAACAATCACAAACTGTATTTTCGTTTGAAATGAATTTTCTCTAGTTTAGTTTATTGAGGAGCAATTGTCAACTACATAAATTAAATTTTTTTTTTTTTAGTTATTGCTACATATTCAACAAAAAACGTGGCTTACTTAAAGGAACACAAATCTTAAATTTACTACTTTTCTACCGAAAATCAGACCAATGTTTGTATAAACTTTTTTGTGACTCATGAGTTGTGTTATCACTCCTGTAAATATTTCCCTGTTCTTAGAAACACCCTGTATATGTAGCCTTAGTGAAATTAGATGCGAATATGCCACTTAATCGTTATTAAAATAAATAATTTATCTTTTCGGGTATCTTCAATAAAAGATTTCATTATTGTTATCGATGCATAGTTTTAAAACGAACTGTTTGATTTTGTGTTCAACGGAGAGAATGGATAGCTATAGTTACAACTATTATAGCTATTACAAAAGAACATTAACTTCTCTTTTGAAATTACAATAATCCATTTTTTTTTTTTTTTTTTTTTTTTTTTTTTTTTTTTTTTTTTTTTTTTTTTTTTTTTTTTTTTTTTTTTTTTTTTTTTTTTTTTAGGCTGATGTCTGCCATGCATATCAAACGCTAGTCAGCCATGGCGTTCCAAAAGAAAGAATTATTACTCTCATGTATGACGATATTGCATTCAATACTTTGTAAGTTTACCATATAGAAATATCATTTAATCAAAATTATTTCTATACATAAAAATCAAACTAAATTTTAATATTCAAATATTTTGGTGATGACATTGTAATATATTATTATCCTATTTTATTTTCTTCTCATTTTGTAGTATAATTCATCTTCATTATAAACAACTTTACAAATCGTATTTCATTAACTTTTTGTTTAGGAATCCACACCAAGGACAAATTTTTAATGAACCGAATGGTACAAATGTTTATGAGGGTGTTGTGATAGATTACAAGGGAAAAGTAAGTATGAATTTTCATCTAATTGTAATTACATACTGGAATAACAAACTGTGATACCATCCCTAACCATGAATATTTATTTATGAACAACATGATTAGGAAACGCGATGAATCGCAAAAAGCATCCGCGGACAAATAACATAGAGTAACTGTTTTTCTCGACTTTGAAGAAGCTTAAATGTTAAGAGGATGAGTTTGTATTAGGGTTATTGCATGATACATATAAGGCTGTTCATCAAACACCATCTAAGCCGCAAAACAATTAGTCTCAGAAATAAATTTAACACGGCGAATTTTCGTAAGGGTACTACCGCCGTAAGCTAGAAGATGTTACTATTGCAAATGTGTTCTTAACATGGAAAAGTAAATAGAAGAAAAATAAACAAAAATGATAATAATAATAAGTATGTGGAAAATAGCACTAAGATGAAAGGTGAGAAACATTTTATAATCTCAAAAAGTAAGTTTAGTACAGGATAATATTAGTTAGACTGGACGAGGAAAAAGTTGTGGAAGAGCTTTAAACTAGGAAACCGTTGAAGCATGGCGGATGATAGGTGGTATAGAGCTCCAGAAGGAGGCAGCTCGGTAGAGGCAGGATTTATCAAGCGCAGCAGTTCGGTGGGTTCAAGGAGGGTAGAAGCTAGAAGGACAGGATCGGGTGAGACGGGATTAAATAGATCGTTTAAATTGCAGGCTCTGTAGTTGCACTAAAGGAATCAGCTGGTGAGATAAATTTGAACATCATCGGCATATTAATAATACTGGAAATGATGAATGGAGAGTAGGATGTCGTTAATGAAGATGAAGAAAAGGGTAGAGGAAACAAGGAGGAACCCTGAGGTGAGGTACGCTTTGGGGCAGGGATCGAGAACCAGAGGGAGAATTATTCGGTATGGCACTAGATAATAGTGATAGATCGTGACACAATAGTGAAAGGAGAATATTGTGGTCAACGGAATCGAAAGCATTGGAGAAGTCAAGGAGAATAAGAATGGCGAGTTTCTTCTGGTCTGGAGCTGTATGGATATCTTGGGAAATTTTGATGGGGACAGACTAAATAGAATATCCGTGTCAAAAACCGGACTGTAGGAGTTTTAGGAGGTCTGATATACTAAAAGTGGGATAGCTGGGATTGAACTAGTCGCTCGAAAGGTTTGGAGATGTTTGGATGAAGGGAAATTTGTTGGGGGGTTGGAGGTCTTCTTGAAAGAGCGAACTAGGCTGGTTTTCCAAGATGTAGGTAAGATATCATTTTAAAGTGAAATATTATAGGTATAATAAAGGATCGGAAAAATAGATGGCAACGCGACTTTAACCAGTCTGACTGGGATGTTATCGGAATCATAATCATTGGTATGAGACTTCTGAATGGAGTTAAGGAGATCATCAGGGGTAATGTGGGAAAAAAAGAAAAGATAATGATTAAAATGAGAATAAATTTTAGTCGGGATGGACGCGGGAGTTGAGGATAAGAAAGGGCAGAAAACAAGTGAGTCTTGAGGTCATCAACAGAAAAGGAAATTGACTGCTATTGAGGTATATTACCAATGGTCAGTTTTCTAATAATAGTGGTCTTGGTATTAGGGGAGTTGGATAGGGAATGATGGTAGTAACGGGATTTGGCACGAAATACTGCAGTTTCAAAGCTGTTTGAGGGAGAAAAAATCTTTAGAAAGTCGAGTTCGTTTAAACCGCCGCCTTGTAGCGTTTCTTCCTCTAATACACTCTCTCAGAGCAAGAATAAACCAAGGATTGGAGGATGTCGGATGGTTTTTGTGATAAGATGAGCATGTCGGTCGATGATTGTGTGAAGATGAGTGGTAAGGGTTCTACCATGGTGTTGATAGAGTTAAAGGAGTAAATAGAATTCAACTGATAGCGTTTTAACTCTGTTACTTTCAGCAGATCCACCTGTGTGTGGTTTTCATTGAACATTTGTTCAAAGAGACACTTACATCTTAGTATTTGATTCTTTTCACTGTGTAATGCACAATCGAAATCTCTGCATAAAGACAGTCGTGGCTTGAATGGCTTCCGGCCATTATTCACACTTTGTAGAATTTCAGACATTCATTAGCATTTCTCAAATTCTCGATATCTTCGAATTCCTTATTTTCTCATGTTCTTTTTCCGCATCTGTGTATTCATATCATCTCTCCTTTTTTATCTGTATGCATCCACCGAGATTCACATTTATTTTTTTCTGATTCCTCTGAAACAGAAAAAAACATGAAATCAGTATTATATTCGAACCATTACTCAGGTGGTGGAGCGATACTCAGATTTATCTAAACCTTTTTCTACTTGTGTTATTTGAAGATGCGTTGTATTGATAGAAAATTATATCTCTTCCTGCATTTACAGGTCAGGTTGAAATGTTTGGAGTTGAGGGTCCTCCGCTTGATGAATAATAAAAGTAATTAATATATAACAATAAAAAAATGTGGAGATGGTAGGGAGGAGAGAGGTATAGAGATGAAGATAGGCACTGGTGGAGGGGGGGGGGCCGTGAGATGGGTTGAATGATTATGTTGATGGGGTTTATGAACCCTTACGGTCTTGCCATCTGACAGGGAGTGATGGATCGGAATAATGGGTTAAAGGATGCGGGGAGGTTATCGAAGAACTTGATGTTTTCTTGAAATGTGTTGCTGAACAGAGTCGATTTGTAGTCTGGTACGAATGCGTTTCATGTTTCGTCTTTCTAGAGTTGTCCCTTTGAAAATCTTCATGAGTATACTGTTATGGTATTGTTGTAGTTTCTTCAGAGCTGTGAGATATAGGTAGTGTAGGAGGGGCGTACTATGTAGAGGTGAGGGTCAGCGTGTAGCTTCGTATATGACTAATTTTAGTCTGAGTGATAGCCCTGGTGAATAGAGTATATGACGGAGTTGGTTTAAGGTAGATTTGACTGTGTGTATTCTGTGTTGTATGTGTGTTGTGAATGATAGATGAGATTCGGGTTTCATACCTAGGTATGTATGAATTGTCTTTTTATTTTAATAGTTTGTCCGTTTAGTTCAGAGTGTTTTTCTGTAGTTTTCTTGTATGAGAATGTGATGGTGTCAGTTTATGGGGATTGGTGTTGTTAACGCCCGAATTTACGTATTTTATTTTCCTTTCGTTTATTTTTTCTCTCATCATATTTTCCCTTTTAAATGTTAATGGAATAAATAGTTATTATTTTTTTTTGTGTAATAGGCCGAGGGATATTATCCCAAAAATGTATTTTGGTGTACACTGTTTATAGATTTAGGGATGTCTTTGGGATTAAGACATAAAAATACGGCCGAAGGGGACTCTAGAGCTGTCTTTCGTTCAGAGTGGACGTCTGCCCCCACCAATCTCAACAAGCTCCAGGCCGTCTAATCTCGCCACATCTCACCTAGCGCCATTTTCGAGGGTCAGCTGTTGGGCGCAGCTGAGTAATCGATACATATCGATGCCACCCCACCATCGATTACTCAACAGCTGGATATCGGAAGGTAACAGGTTGGAAGGAACCTCCAACTTGGCTTGTTGTGTTTTTTATTTTCACCAAGACATTTGAATATTTAGTTAACTGTTTTCTTCGCTAAATTAGTTTACTCTTTTGGACCATCATTTCTCTCTCTCGTTTTATTTTTAATTTCAGAAATTGATTTTTTTGCTTTATTAGTAATTGTTAATTTGGTTTTATGTTCACTGAGCATTATATTTTGAGTTTTTTGTTCATTTCAGTGAAATTCATGCCACTCTTTATTTATTTTTTATCTATTGTATATATTTTATATATCTTTTCTTTTATTCAATACATCTGTAAGCATTTAAAAGGATATTTTTTATTCTCCATTTTTATGTATTGAAATATTTTTATTTTTTAATATTTCATTGAGGAAACGCACCGGGGAAAGATCTGTACTTCGATTTTGAAGTACCCCTGGGCCCAACAGGTGTGGATATCTATGTCTTTAAGTTGGTCTGTAATCAGTTGGGCTGCTTTTTATGTTCCACGCATTGCGTGTTTAGCTCCCATGCTTGCTGTATATATTGCAATATCATCGGCATAAGTGGCTATTTGTACTTTATCAATTTTGGTACCTACTATTTGGGTAGTGTATATATCGAATAGTATAGGCTCCAGAACTTAGCCCTGGGGGACACCACTAGCCGAGAGAGGGAAAAGTCAGTTTTGACTCGAACGTATTTCTCTTTTGAATCATACTTTTGTATGCTACATTTTTTTGATCGATGGCCAATCGAGATTCTTCATCAAGCCAAGAAGATCTTCTCTCTAACTGTTTAAAACATATAATTTTTTCAGCTGCCTCATATACTGTTGCCTTAATTGTTGACCACATCTCCTCAACATCCGCCTCCAATGAATGTGGCCTGTTCACCAACTTTTTGGGATAAAATTCATGTGTTCTTGAGGATTTTTAAGTTTTGAGGAGTTAATCTTCTTGGTTCTTTCACCTCGTGTTATCTTAACTGATGCTTTCGGCATAGCAGCTGAAGACAGAATAATTAAAGAATTGGCCTCTAACTCTGATAATGCATAGTCATCAGTTCACAGATTTAAAGTCAATTATCAGTAGTCAAAATCTTCTTACCACAACATATCCACTTCCAAAGATGTGCTTCTTATCATCACAGCTATAGTACATGGTATAACCCTCTTTTTTCGATTACTCCTTGTCCAGTCCATCGAATTAATGGAGGGCAGTTATGTCAATTTTATACCAGTTAATTTTGCATAAGAGCAGTTTTTGTGATCCGGATCTATATAATGATAAAATACTTTCTATGATCCAATAGTGAAATCCGTGTGACAAGAGCTATTTATTTTCCTTTTCGACAGTTCTGCTGATGTTCCTTGAGGTTTCGAGATAATTTTGATTCAAAAGGTAAGAGTTATTAGCCCAACAACCTCCGAGTCAGGTAAAGGGGGTGGCCTCCTCGGCACATCCTCACTTGCTCCCCCATCCCCGGGCTAAATCCTCCTAGGTAAGGTGGCC